AGGTTGTCAACACTGTTTACGAGGAGAAATATCATTCTCAGGATGAACAACGCACGTACACATCACAGGGTTTTACGTGTCCGAGGTGAACGTTCACGTGTTCAGTATGAGAGTTTAAACTATTTCAATCCAGAAACCCATTGTTCTCCAGTTCAGTTCACACGTGTTTAATATAGCAGTTCACTGTCTTTCACTATGCGCTTGTCTTTCGCTTGCCACATAGTTTACTTTGTTTAAATAAGCACTGAACAGTTTGAATACAGACTATGAACATCTAGCTAGCCAAGTCTGAGGAATCTTAGTTCGACGTACTACAAATCTTAGTGCTTTAAATCTTACAAGAGACCAACGCGGAAACTCTGCCACAATGCCCACAAGAATCCGTATCGTCACCAGTGTTCCGTGTTTGTCTTTAGAAATTTGATTGATAGTGAAACTGGAATTCTGGAAAGGACACATTACAAAACTTGGCTGATGCTGTTCTTAGCTGTTGGTCTTGTAGCTGCTTTTCATCATTTCTGTCGGAGTTACCTATATCAGGCGAACGAGCAACTTGATTTAGACAGTTATATGTGTCCTGGGCTTCAGTGTTTTGACAATGTCACACAGCATTGTCACACAATACTTGTCAAAAGATTTAATATCATTACCATTTTTATAAGTTAAGTTTTTGAGCATGGATACATTATTTTTCGTCTATTATGCCCTCTTATAGCAATGGGGAACTCGTTGCAAGTATAGTTTTACATTTAACCCTTGTAATCAGATGTGAGATTTCAGGTTTCGTTGTCGTACAGGTATTGTGTTTATTACCTGTGGCGATTGCGAATGCAGACGTGTTCTCTGTAAGTTTTCCAGCAGAGGTGAGGATGTTCAAACATGTGTAATGCAAGTGTTGTTGCTCTCCGTGCCTGGGTCGGTAGTGGACGGCGCCGCTTTCCAGTTCGGAGTCTGCCGCGACGTCCTTATCGTCATGACGGGGACGCAGCACCAGTGCTTGAAGAGCTCGCTGAAGGTATCCCTAAACTGTTGGCTCATGGCGCAGTAGAGCAGGAAGTTAATGGCGCTGTTGAAGAGCACCAACATGTCCATGATCTCGCCCAGCTTCTGGTAGCAGGGGAAGAATCCGGAGTCAGGAATGACAGTCAGGAGGCCCAGGATGCCCTGAGGAACCTCAGACGCCAAGAACAGCACCAGGATGCCCAGCAGCATCTTGGTGACCCGATCTGCTTGCTTCTCTGCGTCTGCGCCGCGACCTGACGTGTTCTTCATGAGCTGCGCGCGTCGTCTGGCAGCGCGCAGCAGCTCCTGGATGAGCGCGAAGGAGAGACTGGTGAGAGCGCCACATGGCAGCAGCTTGAGCATCACCGCATATATCCAGAAGTTAATGCTCTTGAGGAAGCCCCCGTGAGCCAGCGCCAGGTGGCTGAAGTTCACGATGTAGAGCGTCTGGCCCCTGTGCTCTATCTTGCTGATGGTGAAGTTGAGGTAATTAGGGATGTTGCAGACGATAGAGCAGAAGAAGGCGGCCAAGCTGACGGCGTGGGTGCGCCTCATGGAACACCAGGTGGTGTTATTCTGCGGGAAAGCGATGGCGATGTAACGCCACACCGCCAGAGTCACGGTCAGCCAGATGGAGATGGTGTGGAAGACCTGGGCGAAGTGGGCGTGGAAGAGCACGAACACCGCCCATCCCCACGAGTACCGGGAGGCCAGTGGGCGGCTCTGCCACACGTACTGGTGCATGGTGTAGGGGATGTACTCCACCATCACCAGCAGGTCCGTCACCGCCAGCCCCGTCAGGATGGCGTTGGTGGGGGACACCATGGAGCGTCGGGTCAGCACCACCATGTTGATGACGTTGGCCACGGAGCCGAAGACGCAGACGGCGAGAGACATGCAGCCGTGGACCGCCTGGTAGCTCTGACGGAAGCTGTCCCACGCCTCCGTGCTGCAGTACTCCTGCACACACAGTTTACAAGAATTAACACTGGCAATAATGATAAGAGTATTATTATTATAACATATTTATTACCTCAGTTGGTAATTGTAAACACAATACTGTGTTGTAAACACAATACTGTGTTGTAAACACAATACTGTGTTGTAAACACAATACTGTGTTGTAAACACAATACTGTGTTGTAAACACAATACTGTGTTGTAAACACAATACTGTGTTGTAAACACAATACTGTGTTGTAAACACAATACTGTGTTGTAAACACAATACTGTGTTGTAAACACAATACTGTGTTGTAAACACAATACTGTGTTCTAAACACAATACTGTGTTTACAACAATAAGTCTTATTTTACATTTGTATTATTGAATGCCACAACCACTTGGGTTGCCCAATCAACCCAAATGATCGGGCAAAAAAGAAATGACAAATTTTAATTAGTATTCTTTACAGAAGAACCAGAAAATTTTCCATCGTGAACGCTGTTTATAGAGAAAGTGTAAAATAAATTACTCAAGCATAGAGTACCAACTGCAACCCAAGTCTGTAATTAAAATATAAAAATAATTGACATATAAGTAAATATTTATGTACAAGATAATATTTGTCAGATCTTTTTAAGGTCACATGCACCAATTTTGAAAAGTTAAAGAAAATATGTTTTGATATATGATATTTGAGAGAAAACAATCAAATGATCTCAAGACCAGTTTAATGAGTAGAAATGCCATATAAATGATTAAATGGATGAAATAT